AGAAAAACAATGGAATGTTTGCTATTCAACCACCCACTTCAGAGAACGCAAAACAGCCAAGACTACCTCCTTGAGTTGCAAGTATACTTGATAATTTCAAAATCAATCAGACCTTCCTAGAATGTCAGAACGTCAAAAACATTTTGTACATCCAGGGTAGCTCATGGGGTCATTGTGAAACATTGGCACAACCACTACATGAAGGCAGCAATTGTACGTCGAGAAAACAAATTCATCCTTTCTTGTGTAAAGTTTCATTCATGTTCTATCCGAGTTAAATTACCATATGAACAGCGTACACTAAAAGAAATACAAAATAATGGCGATCAATGCACGTTCAGCAATGCCAGTCTGATATTTTTGATGAACTGTTCATTTCTTAGTATTTTGCTTTTTATTACGTCTATCAACGCTTCTTAAGTTTCAGTGCTATGGTTCTGAGACATCTCACCCTTCTATAATACAAGCTTGTTTGTCCTAGTTGCAGTTAGTGCTACCAGTTTTGAGTTGACTACTACCTAAATAACTTCTCAAGGGAACTACAACTTTCAAAAAATGATTGTTATGCCCTGGCTTGTAATACCTGTCTGAATCTGGTGATTTGTCGGTTCACTTGTAACGTTGACCTTGGAAGGGATCAGTATCGCACATACTTGTCATATTTTGAATACCCGGTTCACCCCAGTAATGAGTCACACAATTTGGCCCTCTCAACGTCGTACAACAGAACACAAAGTCGTATGCTTATTGTCTGTATATTTAGGGCAACCACAATCATTTACAGTTACAACTGGACTTCCTGTCCACAACATACCATAATTCCTAAAAAATTGAAACAACGGGTCCCATCCATAGTAAGTGTGACTTTACTCAACATACTTATTTTAAAGAAACGGCAAAGGATGAAACGTAGAAGAATGCTTACTATGACAATGTACGTTATTGATGATATATGATAACTTTTCCATTGAAACATTCATGTTCACAGTGTGTTTCGTTTCCTCTTCTTTTCTTACTCGTTTTGCTCTTCATACGACAATGTTGCCTCATACGTTTCTCCGCACACAGTATTTATCCATCGCTCTTAATCACCTACGACGTCTGCCCACCTCTCACTGTATACTACTTATATTCATTCTTATCAATAGTACCCACTACGCAGTTAGTCAAACAAGTGAAAATATGGTCGATCGAAAGCTCCTGAACTGAGGTATACGGTATTGTTATCAGTCAAGTCATGAGTGCAATACATTTTTATATAAATAAAATAATGTTACCAATACCGGTTACCTAAGACCCATGTTTTCCATCTTTTGTGAAGTGTCTGATGTCACTATACTGTTTTGTACAGCATCTAATTCTACTGTTTTTGTCGCGAATAATGTCAGAAACATGTGACAAATCACTGAATAGTAAAAGTGGTCACGAAATTAGTTAGTTTCAGTGACGTATTTCAATTTTTATAGGGGTAAAGTCAAAATGATATTCATTTTTCCTAGGTACTTCTTCCACCAACCCCTACTGCATCCCCTCCTGAGTGGGTATGATTTCAATAGAATTAGTTCATTTTACTGCACATACGATGACACCACTTCGAGCAATAGATTTTCCTCATACTGAACGATATGCGAAGCAATACTGCCGCTGGCTGAGGAAACAGAGTGAATGAAATAGCAAAACAACTCATTCATATATAAGGACATGTTGCTGATACAATAAGACACACCTCACAACACGCAAAAACGAAGGCAGCCTACTGCAGTTCTCACACTGTGGCTTATTCCTTCAGCTACTTGAGTTCCAACCGATGAGTCACAATTTCGAACCCAACCCCACCTATTGAGGTTTGAGCAACCAGGTAGTATTATCACCCACACACAATGGATGTGGTCGGCTCATCACTGCCTGCCTACTGCAAAACCTACTTATAGTTGGTGACTGCATTTCAATTCTCATTACTTTTACTATATAGGACCGTTCTTGATCGTTTAGCTACCACCACTTCACAATGAAGTAAACCTTGTATATATTCAGTGTCTTCCGCTCACCAGGTGTTGCCCAGAACGGGAATACGAGACGCATATATATGTATAAGTATTACCTTATTTTATGAATTTAATAGTTCTTAGTTTGGGACAGTGAGAACTCTGTGTCCGGCAGTTTCCCCTTCGTTGTATAACCAGTATTATTGTGATAGGATAGCCAATATTTAGTGAATAGCATACTCACCTATTTCCAAACGGGGTTAAAATACATGCAGTTCTATTACTGAAAATAGTCTGGTCCTAGGATTCCCTTCTGTTTCTACATCGAATTCTCTTATTTTTTATACACTAAAACTTCTATTACGTCACTTCTTCATGCTGAAATTTACTTTGCATTCAGAAGCATATGCACGTCGGTTAGTTATTCCTTATCTCGTAGATTCTCGCTTAAACATGCCGTTTGATATACTCCACTATTCAGATAAGTAGTTTCAGCACTACACTTCGTGTTTTTTGGATGTTCAAGGCACAAAAGAGAGCTTCCTGGAGCACGACTACATCCCTTCAGGACGAGGTTACCTATCGTGGTTGACTAATGTCTGATAACCAGTACCTTTCATCACTTAAATGTCACTATTTCATATTCCTCTGTACCAAGTTCCCCTCCTTGAAATTATGGCCGCACAGTTAAAAGTTACTGACTACTATTTCATCATAGTTAAGATAAATAATCTTTGTGTAACTATTCTCGAACCTGCATTTGAAATTCTTTTCTTTGATTTTTCTATTCCTACTTTATTACTCATTGACTTAAGTACAATACAAAGTACTCCATACCCGCTTACATCACCGTTTCTTTTTTTTCCTTTTCTGATAGACAGGCTCGCAATGCAACTGCTGCATAACGACTATTTTCACACTTCATCCTAAATTTATGGCTCCAATTGGAATTGCATCTAGAAATGTTGGTGTTTGTATCCAAACATGCAGATTCTCCCACTCGTGACAGCCACTCACCTCGTAGTGAGGCAAACCGAAACTGACCTCATATGAAGCCCTGACCTTGAAACGTTTAATGATGAGACCTTAGATACCATCGTCTTTGGGTTGGACTGACATCAGTCAGAGGAACGTTGGGAATCTGGGAGCACTGGGTAGCTGTTTCGTCCTACTGAGTTCTCAGCAGTGCGCACCTATTACCCCACCCCAGATCAGACCCAGGAACTTCAGGTTCCATGGGTAGCACTTTACTACTGGGTCCGAATTTCCTACTTGTCATCTCAGGATATAGCACGACCTATATCCAAGGTCGTTAAATAACCGCCCTCATGTTCAACTTGAGTCCACTGTTCACTTTTTCCTATCGGAACTTCGTAAATCCCCTCTTGAAGCTAGTCACCAATGAGCGCTTGATTAATTCTATCCGGAAGTTTATTAAGTGATTTTAAGTGGGGTCATGGGTGCGCAGTCTCATACAAGTGGGACGAAACAGCTATCCAGTGTTCCCAGGCTTACACTGTTCCTCTAACTGATGTCAGTCTACGATGAATTCCAATCTAAAATCAACTAATAAAGCTTCACAAACCTACAGGTAGAATTTACCTATCATCGACAAGAGTTGTTGGATTGAGTTGTATCTTCGGGTTTATTTATTCAGATGAATCCGTTCTCAACAACACACCTAAACAATCGCTATTTTCTGCATAACACCGTACAAATCTTATCCCCCGTTTATTACAGAATTGTAGTCTAGTTTCGTATATTCTCTGTAAAACAGCACAAACTTATTGAATATCTGTGTATTTTCGGCTTCGTTTATGCTCAGCATTTGATATGCTGTGTACTCTTACTGATTATGCGATTCATTAACTGGAATGTTGAGGTCTTATCACTATTGCCAGGTTACTGCTCATACTGAGTGACGATACCTGTGTTACTATTCATTTTTGTTGTACGGCGAAAAAATTGTTATTTAATATTAGTGACCAGCAATATCCGTACAACTGCATCCTCTGACAGATTATGTATGGTGTGACGATTTATTCTTTTTAAATTTCCTCAGTTTCAATGGGAACGATAACACTCAGATATTGGCCTGTAAAAACAGCATGTGTCCGTATAACTTATTATTCGAAATAAATTATTATTATGCCTTGGTATGTATCGTAGATAAGGCAGAACTTATGACCATTACGTCTCCAATCACACCATAGTCTAGCCCGATTTCTTACGCAAAAGTGACTTCTGCTACTGCGTTACATAAAAACTGCAAGTTCTTTACAAGAAGAATGGAGAGTGGTGGGTGGAATGTTTACTTGTAGAAGGGGATAAGAGTAATTATGCAAAGTTAAGCTAAGGGAGTATTGGTGTAAGGATCAACAACTAGCATCGGAGATGTGACCACGAGTAGTCGATTAATGTGATATTCCAAGGGAAGTAAGCCTGGCAAAGTATCGCTGGACTTCCTCAATTTTCTGGTTGTCAGTAGGCCGTAAGGCGACTAAGTATGACACGACGGTATTCTAGTACTGATCGCACATCCATATCATGCAAAGTGATCTTGAATTCATCGAGGTGAAAATTCCGGCAAATGAAGACAGTGAGTGGGGGATGATTTCGAGCACTGTACCGTTGCACGCTCTGCGATGGAAAGTTCACCGCAGTACCACCTTATTCCGAAACCTCAAATATTACTTGGCTATTCTGGTCGAAGATTGGTTGACGCACCATGTGTTTACAGTGTTACGATGCAGTTCTGTTGTGTTTTTATCTAATATTTGTGACCGAATAGTTGCATTCTCTGGCAGACGATATATAACGTGACAATTTATTTTTTTCAAACTTTCACAGCTTCACTGAGAACAATCACATACTCAGATACCGCTTATGAATCTGGCATATGTTGGTGTTTTATTACCGCCACCCTGTGTAGTCCTGTCTTGATAAAGAATGGGGCTAAATGTAAAAATAACACTTTATAAAAGACTATTTTTGTCTATAAATTTAGCAGATAAAAATTACGTTAAAAAACTTCATTGTTAAGAAATGACTTTGAAGATTAGGCTAATTGATAAAGAAACACCATGATGTCGTCAGCTGTTGTTCAACAGCACATACATCCATTAAATTATTAAAACTTAAAAAGAATAAATGAAATCAGATCCAAATAACAGTAACAATAATAATAACAATAATAAGGGCAATGCTTCAGGTCATCACACAATTAAGTCATTGTACCAAATACTGGATTATGACGACATATTGCTGGACCGAATTCTTCATATTGAGCTTTAGTATGGCATACATTATAGAATTCACTCTGTGATAAGAAGGGAAACATTAAATTCCGGTTAAAACAAATAAACATTCACTACAGTACTGGTTAATTGCTATTGCAAAAAAAGTTAACCTATGAGTAGAAGATAATCATATAGTAATGATGGATAGTGGCTAGCAGTGGAATCCAAGATGCTCATTTCGTCCTATTTGGGACTCGTCAGCTGGATATACCTGCCTCCCAGTGAGTGTTGTTCTCACTGGGATTCGGGAGCGATCGCTTCAAACGCCAGAGAGTTATACACCACACCACCGAGCCACGATAGCCACTTCTTGTGCGACGGGTATAGTTTTAGTATTATCGCTTGCATTACACCGTCGTTGATTGGACCGAATTGATCAGTCTCTGTTGGGCCCTGTGCGGATGTCTCGATATTGCCTGTTCCCGCTGAGAAAATCACTCACTGGGAGGCAGGTACATCCGGCTGACGAGTCCCGAATAGGACGAAATGCGCATCCTGGATTCCACTCCTAGGCACTATCCATCATTACTATATAGTTAAGAACACAGCCAATATCGAGGCATCCACACAGGAGCCCATATGCCAACAGAGACTGATCAATTCGGTCCAATCAACGACGGTGTAATACAAGCAATAACACTAGAAGATAATTGTTCACAAATTTTAGGTAAAGTTCATGAAACCGGTACAATTTATTAAACTACATACAATCTATTTGCGTGACACTAGGACTGAACATCAAACAGAAGACAACATGTTGCAGCCAAGTAGGGTATGACACAGAAATGGCAGTGGCAGACTACTTTGCGATATGTTTATCTGTAATACAACAACACTCCAACTTCGTGTATATGCTCTAATGGTGTATAATGTAATGGTGCATTCCTACTGGAAGTTGAGAGGTGCGTTCATCACTAATTTAAAAGTGATTCCGATGAAAGATTTGTCAATTGGCATGAGGTAAGCAGTCAAACAACGAGTATCTCCTTAAAGTAACATAGCATAAGTGATAAACAAAAGAAATACCACGTATTCTAAGAACTCAAAAGCTTATAGTTAGCGAATAAATAGTTAGACCAGTTTATACTTGAAACTGACTAAATAGAAATTTAAAAGGTGCATTTCGACAACCCTATTCAGGTTACTGTATTACGGTACAAGTCAAAATCGATGACAGAACTAATGATATACTAAACGCAGGATTAAACTAGATTAACTGAAATAGGGTTCGAACTCTAGACACTGCTTGAAAAACAAGTTCTGAAACCAGTGAGCCTCAGGTAGGAAATAAGCCAGCCATCAGAAAATACTATGGGGTTGTGACTAGCCAATTCTACTTAACTGTAATTTTATAACAACTCAACGATTTGGAGCACAAACGTGTTTATTTGTCACATGCTGTATCTCTGAAGCAAGAAGGGGAGTAACAACCAATAGTGAGTGACCATAACCTCATTCACTGACACTACGATCAGTCGCCTTACACTTTTTAGGGCTTTTACACACTCCAAATATTCTTTCAAATGCACTATCCAATTTGGAGGTTTATGGGAATTTATTTGTTGATTTCAGGTTGGCTGGCAGCACTGAACAGCTGTTTCGTCCTAGTACGGGACTGACTCGTCAGCGATGCAGACTCACGACCCCGTCCGGCTAGGGATCGAACACAGGACCTTCAGGTTACGAGGCCAACACCCTACCACTGAGCTAGCCACTGGGTCCGAAGCCAATGGTCCACATTTACTACTTCTATCAGTTCACAATAAAGCACAACCTATAATATCCAATGTCGTCTTTGAGTAACTGTCCTCATATCCCACTTGGTTGGCGTCACCGGTCACAACTTTCCATTAAAACTTCCGGAATCACCTCTCAGCAAAACATGCAGAATAGGAGATAATTTGCAAATTGAGAAATTTAGGTTAGGTATAGGAATTTTACCAATATCAGTGGTCATTTCCAATTGCACTTTAGCATACAATACCACTAAACCCAATAATCCAGTCATTTCGAGTAGTGATGGTGAGTAAGGATGAGGGTTGTTTCTGTTTTGGCAACCTGGAGCAGTTTCTACACCAATGGTCCCATCCTCCCGCGGAGGAAGCATGTGTCTCTTTTGCGAAGATTCGTGTGTAGAACTGTGATCTGTTGCTGAAGGTCTTCACTGGACCCTTCCGCTGTAGTTCTATGACAGCCACTTCATATCTGTGGGTTGCACTGCGCTCCCAAGTTTCAGCTGCTGAGCTGTAGCACCTCGTATGCCGTTAGTGAACGTCAGCCCTCTTGATATCTCTCATATCATCGTAGGTCACCTCCGTGAAAACTCTTAAGGAGAACCTTAACAAAGCCAGCTTTCGCTCAAGCTTCTTGACCCCTATCAGCTCCTCAACTCTCACAAACTCCCCCAGAGATGTCCAGATGTCAATATCTTGGAAAACCTCATGGCAAGATATCTTCCTCCTATAAGGCAGGTAGTGAAACGTGCAGTTAAGATCGTTTGTTTGGGGGAAAATACTACTGTTATTAATAAAATTCCTTAAAAGTAGCTCTGACTAGTGTTAGTAGATAGAATCACTGTCCTGGTAATTCCCACAGTCTGTTGATCGTAAGAACTAAAGAGGAAACCCCGAACCTAGTTAACACTATCAGGTCGAAAACATAACATCACAATAATGTTGATGGATAAACCATATATGTAAATAACGCACGTGCATATTAAGAAGTGTGATATTCATTCAAGTAACTTCGAGTGGAAAACACTAACGTATTAAGCATCTTGTGTGTAGTAGAAGAAAAAGATAAGTAGAAATTAGGCATGAAAAGTAAGCGGTAGTCTCACTTGAAACAATTAGTGGCTATATTAGCTAGAAATTCTTTTTCATGCTATTCTCTACAGATTGTCAGTTTAAATTCCGTTTAACAAGTAATCGGTTGCATAACAAGTACAGAGTCCAATACATACAACAGACAAGGAATAGGAATTTATATGGAAACAAGCCATTTATTGAGTTATGCAAAAGGAGAAGGGTCCAGGGATGACAACCAAACTGTGATCAGATTTTAATTATCACTGCAATTATCTGAGATGGTCGTAATTTAGGAAACTGTGACTGACTTTTGGAACTTGCTAGTTGGTAATTAGCTAAGTGTATTTGTAACCTCAAGGAAATTCTTCTTTGGGGGATTTGAACGTATATGACACAGACTATCACTCAGTTATCTCGAAAGTAGTTGAACCCATGTTGGACAGAATTACGTTTAAACAACGCGTTACTATACTGTGTCACTTAGTATAATCAGTCATACAGCACTCTTGATCGATGGGTTTCGATCAGCATTTACAAGGTGACAGCCACATCGATTACCATTGGTTGATTCGTACAATGAGCATCTTTAATGATGGATAGTGACTAGCAGTAGAATCCAAGGTGCGCATTTCATCCTAATTGTGACTCTTCACCCGATATACCTGCCTCCCATTTGGACTCGAACTCGGGAGTGGTCGTTTCAAACGCCGGAGTGTTATCCACTAGACCACCAAGCCACGATAGCCACTTACTGTGCAATGGGTATAGTTTTATTGTTGTTGCTTGTATTACCCCGTCGTTGATTGGACCGAACTGATCGGTCTCTGTCATCGTCCACTCTGCTTTTTTGTTTTAAAACTACAGATACTCAAAATGTGAAATGAAAATTTAGGCCGCGGCAGGATTCGAAACAGCGATCATCGGATGTCCAGCGCGATGCTCCACCAACTGAGCTACGAGACCCCACTGTTGACCACATTTTCATTTCACTTCAATCAACTAAGGGTTGTGCCCTATCGCCATATGAGTTCGTCATGCGTTACTATCGCTTGATCGTACTCACACTGGCTACTCAGACAGGACTTCTCATTCCAATCCAACTTTACTTGAATTAAAAGTGGAGGAGGAGGGGGGGGTATGGCGGAGCATCATATTGATTATCATTTTGACCATGTGAGATAGCCTTGGTTTGGCAGACTTGTACTGATACTGAGTGACGATTTAATTAATTACTAGGAATGAACCTCTAGAAATCAGTAAATCATTGCACATAAACATACAACTGATGAAAAGCTCAAGTATATGTGTTAAATGTTATCAATTCAATCAGTGAGAAGCGTCGTTTGACTTTGATTTATTGCTTCCTGACACTCATCTGCAACCATTTTGAAACTGATGTAACCTTGGTGATTCAAATTTACTGAAGTCAGTTAGACAATAAATGACCACTGTCTGTATGACTGAATTCTCTACATGAATTGTTCACCAAAGGGGATACAATGTGGTTGTCCTACGTGTTCAGCGTTGAACATATAATGATACTACTAAAGAAGAGAGAGAAATTCAACTCATTGTACACAAACAATTTAGTGTTGCTTCCAATGCGGTTACATAATTCTCCTCTATTCTGAGGCACTTACACTCCTGCCATGTTCATTTGGGGGACCGAAATGACCCACAATCTGTTCGAATATAACCGTTTTTATATCGATATGATTTTCATTATGCTGTTACCTGTTTGATGATGGGAAGCATCTGCGTATTGTGCTAAAGATATATCTGCATCCTAGTACTGGGGTACCCAACGAGACCTAAACATCGTCTACTAGGCATCTGAATCTGAGATACTACGACTTTTTTTTAAAGTGATGAGTTTTGGACTCGAGTCACAGCGAGAACAATACCATCAAACTAATAACATGAATAGGTATTATCTGTTAAATATTCAATATCAGATAAAACAGCTTGGACAGGATACATAAAATATCTTGAACAGTGAAGACTTTCGAAATGCCCCCCCCCACCCCCCGTGCACTACGCTCCCCGATGTCGATGAAGTACACGGTAAGAGCGCAACTTGATACATGAACTTGCTATCGAATATTTTTAATCAATAGGTCAAAAAAGCGATTTACTTCATTAGCAAGTAATGATCCTCCGAACCATACGGCATAACGTTGCATTGGATGTGAAACCACTTTGACGTCTATTGACTTAGGCTAAAAATAGTAAAACAAAACAATTAAATGGGACAGAAAGTAAATAGGTAACTGATGGCTTAAACGACTCCACCCATCTGGACGGAATCGACTGGTGTACACTACTGATGAACTCAGCACCAAACAACTATCCAGTGTGAGTGATCTACAAGTGTTCGTACACCTTCTAAGGACATACCTTTATCATTTTGGACAATATATTTGTTAACTAGAAATAATTGTTTTATCACCTCGAAGGGTTCGTTTGTATGATCATTTTGTGTTAAACAGCGCGCAGCGGTCAGACTAGAACATGGCATCACTGGATGAAGTCGTTGACTATTGGTTTGAGTCACGTAGGGCAATGAAGACTTGCCAGTTGGGGTTCGCAAGACAAGAGAAACCAGTGATTGGAGACTCGTGATGATATGGCTCAGAACCGATGTCAGTGGCATAGATGCATCCACAAATTTGTGTGCATCTTAACCACCATACTGAATTCAGCATCTTCTCCTTCTTCTCTTTCACAGTTTTCTACTGCTTTCGACCGATTTCTCCTTTTTCTTTCATCTTTCTTGTTGCTGTATTGTTACTTACTGTTACTGATCCTATTTTGATATTGATTAATGAACCAACATTAGTTTGTTTACTTGATGAGCTAACAACCAAGGCAACTGTTGTGATGCCCCAGTTTTGTACAAAACATTGTTATTGATCTGATCATTTTAACGTGTCATTCCCACACCATTTTTTACCGTATAACTAATAGACTATTTTCTGCCCACATTATAATGTAAATCGCTAATTGGCTAGCCTTTACTCTTACTATGCAAATGTCTCAAATTGAGGTCATTTTTTTCATGTGTGTACTTATTCACGTGTTTTGGGATTGATATTATTATTATTATATTGTCGGAGTAACACACTCTCCCATCTCCCAGCTTCGGTCTTCGGTCTTCTCTCTATTCGTTCCAGGGTTGCAGTCAGTGGCTTTTGCGTACCAAGTTAGCTGTCAGCTGAGCGCGCGTATTATACTCCTTCTGGAATATATATATATATATATATATATATATATATATATATATATATATATTAGCGCTTCGAAACCATAACAGTAACTCGAGGAATTTCCTCTTTAAAAGGCATAAACGTTGGGGGGTTTTTTCGGTAGTTTATTTACACTACTTTTTAGAGAATATAAGCCTTTGTAGATTCAACTTCCAAGGTTCGTGAACCCCAACTTTTTCTAGGTCTCCATATTGGAATTTCTACTTACGCATATATTCAACTAGTCCAAAGGTATAACGGATATTTACTAATATTGTACAAAATATGATTGTTATCCTGGTGCAGTGTTTAAACAGGACTACATCATCGATACAGTTGAATAATATTGATTATAATCTTTGCTCATTAGATTTTACTAAGAAAAATTGACTGGATGGAATATTTTTTTAAAGGTTGGCAATGGTAGCATGTTTTCTGAATTGGATGGTTTAATAGTACACCTTTCACTGTTAGTCTAAATAACAATATACATAACGTAACCATCCGAGATGTCAAAATTTAACAATAACTGTGAACTGTACAAAAATTATCAGTCTAGAAGAAAATTCTCCTCAGTCATACAACCAAATATCAACATGGTACCTGCTGTTACTTCGCGACGCTCAAGTTGCCACAACTTACAACAGTATATCAAGGTAAAAGGTAACAGAATGAAAGATGCAGATATAGTTAATAAAAGTAATAGAATGTCATGAGAGGAGAAAAGAAGAGGTTAGACAACGACGACGTTCGATATGACTAATCAAGGTAAAGATAATGTGTGCAAGTATCTGCACCACTGTGATCGCTTTGGTCATTACGCTGAACCTGACCTACGATTTTATACTTCCCCATATGGCTTAAATGAACAGTCAGCAACTCTGTAAACGGATGCCATGTTTGCACCTGGTTTCCTCTAACTTTCTTTTACCCAAAACCACTTTAGCCAACATTAACCGACGATGGAGAAGGTGACTCAATATGCTTAACTCATTTGCTAGTCATCTGGGTGGATGAATGCTCACACCCTTGTGGACAGAATTACCTCTTCTGCCCAAAAATATTAAGCTTAATTTCCACACTGAAGAAATAATGTTTTCAAAAAACACGGTCGATGCTATGAAGATGACAGTGATCGAACATATCACGTATCCTCTACCTTTCATCTTAATGTTTTACAGCCATATAGCAAAACAGCGAACTGCGGCACAGTAAATTCGAGCTTTTTGTATACGTGAGAAGATTTCGTCGGTCACTGAACCACCCAGGCTGATGCAACATCCCAAGTAAGTGAAGTCGTCAACGCGCCCAACCACTTCATTCATTATTGTTTGCGATTCAGATCAGTCTTGAAGTAGCAATTCACACTTAGGTCGTGAAAAATTCATCCAAAACATTCTCAGTTCACCACTCAGTGTATCTTGAAGTTACTGCGTCTTGTCAGCTTCTTTATTTAACAGGACTATGTCATCTGAGTACTCAAAGTTTACTAAGGATTTTTCTGTGACATGACTGATGCCTGTAGAGTCAAACAATGACAGGAAGACATTCGACAGCACGTTTTTGACAAAATCAAACAAAAAGAGAGGGGGTGGATATCCTTGACGGATATCACTCAATGTACACAGTGCACCGTATATCGTGAGACGCCAAACGCTGTTTGGGTGCACAGCCCTCAATAGGGGTGATATATTTACTCAGTATTCTTTTCAGTAAGAGACACTGCCGCCAGACCTACCAATCAACGGAGTCAAATTCCCCCTTCAGGTCCAGAAAGACAGCTAGGGTAGGGCGCCGATAAGCTTGTCTGTGCTCCAAAACCTGGCGAAAGGTGAATATTTAGCCGGTACAGCAGTTACAAGGTCTGAAATTTGCTTGTTTTCCTCGAGTTTACTGTTCTCGAGTTCCACTTAGACGTCTAATAAACATAGAACCTATAATCTTAGACACTATATTCGCCAGATTGGTTCAACTGTGGTTATCACAGAAGGATTTATTGCCTTTTTTAAAGACTGGGACAATCAATGATTGAGGCCAATCAGGGGTGAATCATATCTAACCCTCATACACTACTTAACACGTAAATTAATCTGACTAATAATCCCCCACTACTATCTTTAAATACGTCTGGTACTAGTCTGCCTGGACCTGCTGCTCTTCCTCATTTCAGGTTAATCACAGCCCCTTCAACTTCTACAAGTGCTGGAAGATATGTCTCAATGTCCCACTCGGTGTACTACTGGATAGAGGGCAACGAAATAGTAGCTGGAGATCAGCTAAAATGTTCTTCGAAAGGTTCCCCCACCCATCGTTCCAGTTGTTTATCCTGCGAGTAAATCGCAGACGCATTCTTTTCAGCTATAGTCTCACTAACGACTGACATTTTTGTCCTGGTATCTGTGATAAGTCTAAACAGCTGTCTACTGTCTCTTGTTGCCACTATCTTTTCCATCTCTTAAGCCTACGCTAACCACTATAACTCGTGGTCGTTGTATAGACTCAATGCCAGTTGGTATTTGATTTGCTTCCGTTCTTCATTGAGTTCGGAGTCTGAAGGAATGCATTCACGCCCATCCACTGATTTAAAAGACGCTGTTGAGATTCACTTTCTAACCACTGTTACACTGTTTTTACTACAAACTGAAGATAGAACCAGACTTCTTCTAGGTGAGCGAAAGTGTCCTCTTCCGACAAATGTCCATCCAGTTTCTTGCTGAAACTTGTCTTAGTATTCTCATCGTCTAGCTCCGCTATCAAAAGTGTTCTTGCTGTAGTTCTGCCATATCCACTAAAGTACAGACATACGTCTGCTCGAACCAATCTGGAATTTCTTTCAGTAGTCGGTCAATGCACAATCCGAGACGAAAGGATGGCCTACCTAGTCTCAACTCCTTATCTCAATTTAGCTGTTTTCTGTGGAACAAATAAAATAGAGTGTACGATTCGAAAGGTACACCTTCCGATAGGAGAATATTTACGGGTTTAGTCTGGAAAACGTGAAGTGAAATTGCTGAAAATTTCTATCTTAATGCAACTTAGTGAACATACGGCATCACTTAAATGCTAATGGATTTTTTAATGTTATACATCGTGTACCAAAAACAATATTATGTGTAGCTCGCCAGCGCTTGTTCAACATACTAGCTGAGACTGTCACAATAAGACTGATAAAGCCTGAACTGTGCATTTAGAAACAATATTTCCAAACGTTTTTCTTCCCTTGACCTTCAATATAATAAAGGCTACTCCTGACTTCTTTATCTGTTCTCTTTTATTTCATCATCACCTTCATTTGTACATAGGCTTTCTTTAAACTGGCACATTGAGAAAGAAAACGCAACTTCCTGACAGTCCCCGAATGACGTTCCAGTTTGAAAATATATTCGCCACAAACTTGACTTTTTTTGCTATGTACAATTCCATTTTATAATCCTAGAACCTGATAAGAATTCTATTTAAAAGAATATTCTTCGTTTGGACTGTTTTTAATCACAGCTGTTGGAATCTATAAGTCTCGCTTAGGAAGGATGACTGCGAAAGTAATGCAGACTTACAAAGTTATTTACTATTAGTTTCAGCTGTATAGATTCAACAAAATTAAAAAAAAGCTGACAGACGTCATCGGGACTGGTCACCAAAATTCTCTAGTTGAGCACAGTTTGGTCTACAAATACGTATTTCGTAAAAAAAAAACTCAAAATAAGGCTATCATCATACTCATATGATATCACTTATTAACACTTTCCACATATATTTACATTCTCCCCTTTCCCATTAAGATGAAATAGGAACAATGCAATGGTACCTTTAGAATACAAGGTAAGAAAGGTCAACATACCTTCACTCGTCCACCAGTAAGTTCTTCAGTCATCTTCAAACGATTATCAACATGTCGTTTTATATCTCTTTGTAAACGACGATCTAAGTGCTTAAACATTGAACTGCCTCCAGATAAAACAATATTCTGATTGAAAATAAAAAAAACATAATAATAAAAGGTTTTTCAATCAAAAAAGTGTCTACATATAATCTATTAGGTGATAACTGAAAATTTAGACAGTGGAAGGATTCGAACCAGCAACTAGTATCAATACTAGTCTACCGAACCAAGGCTATCTCACATGGTCAAAATGATAATCAATATGATGCTCCGCCATACCCCCCCCCCTCCTCCTCCACTTTTAATTCAAGTAAAGTTGGATTGGAATGAGAAGTCCTGTCTGAGTAGCCAGTGTGAGTACGATCAAGCGATAGTAACGCATGACGAACTCATATGGCGATAGGGCACAACCCTTAGTTGATTGAAGTGAAATGAAAATGTGGTCAACAGTGGGGTCTCGTAGCTCAGTTGGTGGAGCATCGCGCTGGACATCCGATGATCGCTGTTTTGAATCCTGCCGCGGCCTAAATTTTCATTTCACATTTTGAGTATCTGTAGTTTTAAAACAAAAAAGCAGAGTGGACGATGACAGAGACCGATCAGTTCGGTCCAATCAACGACGGGGTAATACAAGCAACAACAATAAAACTATACCCATTGCACAGTAAGTGGCTATCGTGGCTTGGTGGTCTAGTGGATAACACTCCGGCGTTTGAAACGACCACTCCCGAGTTCGAGTCCAAATGGGAGGCAGGTATATCGGGTGAAGAGTCACAATTAGGATGAAATGCGCACCTTGGATTCTACTGCTAGTCACTATCCATCATTAAAGATGCTCATTGTACGAATCAACCAATGGTAATCGATGTGGCTGTCACCTTGTAAATGCTGATCGAAACCCATCGATCAAGAGTGCTGTATGACTGATTATACTAAGTGACACAGTATAGTAACGCGTTGTTTAAACGTAATTCTGTCCAACATGGGTTCAACTACTTTCGAGGTAACTGAGTGATAGTCTGTGTCATATACGTTCAAATCCCCCAAAGAAGAATTTCCTTGAGGTTACAAATACACTTAGCTAATTACCAACTAGCAAGTTCCAAAAGTCAGTCACAGCTTCCTGTTGACCAACTCGTAATATACTAAGATCTTGACCATTCAAAATTGTCGATGATGCCATGTTTTTTCCGCTATACTTTACACATAAAAAATAACTGATTCCTGAAACAAATCACCAGGTATTATTTGCTTGGTGGTGGTTAACATTAGAGTTCAGGATGTGTGTTTCGTTCCACTTGAGATTCGTCAGCTGGGTGTACCTGCATTCCAATGAATGATGGTGCTTCCACTGAGATCCGGACCCAGCGCCCATCGCTTTAAACGCCAGAGCGGTATCCACTAATCTTCTAAGTCAAGTAAGCCACCTATTGTGAAACATGTATCACTTGTTACCAATTAGTGCTTGTATTTTCTCGCTGATTATTGTACTGGATCAAATTGACTGCTCTATCTTAGCATATGGTCTTTTTAAACGGACGCTTCAATATTTTCTTAACTTTTCTTTTGATTTTGTTCGCTTGGTAATGGCTAATAGTGGAATATTACTGTTCATTGAAAATCTTTCATGTATCACAGTGATTCCTGCAACCAGGTAATGAAATGACGTTTCTTCCCCTACAAGCATTTTAATAAATGTTTGACTGATAACAATTAGGTGACATTCACTTTTCAAGACAAACACTACATAATGGTAAGGATATAAGAAGATTGAAGAACCTGGGTTCGGCCTCTGGAGGGCAGGGTTATGGGTGCATACTGTTGTACTAAGATGAAACAACTGTCCAGTACTCCCAAGTTTCCAATGTTTCTTCAACCCTGATGTCAGTACATGATGAATACACCAACCTGAATTGGATAAATAAATCCCCACAAGCCTCCAGACTGGAAGTTACTTCATTAAATAAGAAATTAAGACTCACTGATCGAAACGCACAGCTTTCGCCAAGGAGGTCACCGGTTTCAATACTACAGACGTTCTGATTAACCTTATCGCAAAAGACATGAATGACAGACTATTTCACACAAGTAAATATGAGGTCAACAAGTTGTTGATAATTGCGCTGAATTACATTTAAATGATAGTGAATATTTGTAACTCAGTTAGATGATACTGTGTTCTTTGAGCAAGATGACTTTTATTCGTGAAGTATTCTTGTCTCTCGAGACAACATCAGCACCATCTTCAATATGAAGTGAGCCATCAGAATTTTATCTTAACAGATTTAGTAGTCTTTTCTATTGAAGTGGCGTATGATTGGTAGCTTCCCGTTACTCCTTGCGCCAATGACTTTACTGATCTAATAATTGGCCGTCTATCTGCCTAACATCTGACGTTTGAATCGCTTATCACTTTATTTATTGGTTGGTGAATTGGATCTATATTCATACACTTATTGGCTGGTGAACATGACCTGAATTTCAAGCTTCTAGGAATTTCATCTTATTTTTTGTGTTTTTTTCTGTCCAAGCTTTCTACATTGTCAAAGCTGAATTCATGTCCACAGTTATTCACATGCATTGGTATAAGGAATGAAATGTTATGATGTTTAATCAGCACATTAATGTTTATGAATGCAAAGAGGGCAACCCGCTTTGACCAATATGATGTTAATCATAGTTATTGCAATTAGCTTTGTAAATGATGCCCAGTTTGTCTTCCTTGTTTATTGAGTCTTACGTATTGCGTAATATGATATGGAGGTAGTTTGTTGCTTTACGATTCATATCAATTCTAAACAGTTTCAGTAGTCTCGTTTTTATCTCTGAGATTTTCATATATGTGGTAAGATGACCAGTTTGTTAACTTCCATGGATAACTACACAGTTGATGATAAGTTGTGCAAACATCTGATGGTGTTGCGTCGGTTATCGTTCGTTGTTGTAAAAGTCATCAAGCAGTTTTTTCATTTCTCCGTGAACTTGTTATATTGCAGTGTTTTTCCTCTTCCGAACAAAGTCTGTACGCATCCAGTCTTGTTCGGTTTCGCTACTGTTGCTGAGAAATTAATCAGTGTATGTTAGCTTAAGTCAACGGTTTTACTTCTACTAACTAAGACATTCAGGAATGATAACCTGTTGTTCGACTCTCGTTCCATTATGAATTTGATGTCGATGGAGTTGTAAATGCTTTCCACTTCATCCACCTGTCTGATTATTGGTTATTTGGTGGTTTCAGGTCATTTCCTCAGGCATTTCCCTTTCAGTCCAGTACACTGTACATCCCTGTTTGTTATTTTGAAATTATCAATAGTACTATCTCATACACAATGGTTTAATGTGACATAAAAACAGGTACTTGACTCTTGCAAATTGTAAAGGCTTCAGCTAAGGGGAATACTATTTTGTTGTTTGTACAGCTGAAGTTCTTCAGTCTAGTAGTAGTCAAGGGGTTGATCATGGGTTCGAGACTCATTTTATCTAACAAAGTTTATTCAATCAGACAATAATAGTGGATGGAGTCAATCAAATCAAGACAAGTTTCCTCATTTCATTCAACCGGAAAGGGTTAACCAATCACAATAAAACTACCTCAATGTAATTTATGTAAGCAAAAGAAATCAAACAATGACATGGCTGCACATCCCTCACAGCCAACCAATCATGTTCGACAGACACCAACTGACCAATCAAGTCACACTCCAGCAGAGTTATACGTTATAAATACCCATGCACAGCCAATTACTTCGTTTCCTGGTGAATTTGCGATGCACTGATGATGACGTTTGGCATCGTAGTAATAAAACTAATAACCATGCTGCTCAGGTAATCTTCTGCCGGATATCACTAAACCGTGAAGTCGAACAGCTTTGGGCATATTAATAATCAACATCACTCAGTAGTTAAAATCCACTCTCATGCTAACCTAAAACTGATGAGTTCAGCCCAAACAACTGTTATTGTTCAGACTGACTAAATTTAGCTAGCTAGTTAAACAACTTCACCCATATAAGTAACACATAACCAATAAATGATAAGTAATGGGTCACGGTTAAAATTAGTGCATGATAATATTAATGCAGATAAAGTATACACTTAATAATTGATCGGTTATAATGAGAAGTTATACAAGTAACGATTATACTTTTGTCTGTAAATAATAAATATATACTACTCCTACTACCACTACTAACTATACTGTAGCAATAGAACGATGCTGAAAACGAAATCAATTGGCCTCACTGCTTTAAGCCCTGTGTGTAAACACATCATTACACACACACACCTTACTCTGCTTCAACGACCAGATATCAAAAGTTATTATGTTATATTAGTTAGTCAAACAAAATATGAATGATTTTTACTAAAATAATAATAACTTTGCAGTAAATCTGATTGCAGAAACGGTTTTCTTTGAAACCCTACTTGGAGGAAATGAAGGAAAGAGAGTACGGCTGAAATGAGGTAAATTGTTCCATCGACAAGGTTTTACTACTGAAGTGCTTGAAAAATCCTACAACCTACCCAGCTGAGTGACATTAAATGGAGGCAAGAAGCTGAAGACTGGTTAAAGTAAGCCGTTACACCAACCAATGTCGTGCCAGACGCCCAACTTGTGTTAAGATGCAGAAATTAGGACTTTGGATGATACGGTTCAAAACACAACTGTTAGTTATCTTGAACAAGATCAACAACATTCATATCGGCTTAGTGCTTGCCACAAGGCCTAAGAGTCAGGGTATCAGTCCCTTAGTGGGTTCTACACGCACGCTGCTGGAGAATCCCATAAAAGGAGGAAATAGATGCCCATTAGTCTCAGGTTTTCAATCACTCTCCAAATGATGTCAACTCATAATGAAAACTATCTTGAAACTAGTTAATCAGCCAGAAAACAACCAAGTGAATTGTTCAGTCTGGCTCAAATTGCTTCTCTTTTATTTCTCTTCTTGGCAAACTGTTTTGAAGTATAGGCACTGAGACCAATCTACCCTAGCGTTGAGTTTTTTTCTGATCAACTAACCTATAAAATAATCCGTTAATGCTGACTATTCAGAAAAAAACATTAAAGAGAGAAGTGAAATAGTAAAAACAACATGAATGCCTTACTTCGTTTACGCATGATTTACAAAAATATCACAATTAAGCATATTGTTGGTTGTTTAAAAATCTTCTCAAACTTATTACGACCGAATAGTACTTTTCCTTCAAGTCAAATCGTGAAAGTTTTAACTAGGAATCTCACAAACAAAAGTAGGTTTACAGTTCATCGAGATATTTAAACCAGTGGTTTACGGATTAAAAGCCCTCGTCATCTTTGAACTATACCGACAAGCAGATAATATCACAGATCTCATGCAATATCAGACAAATCTTAGCCTGCCTACAGAATTGCATACTACTAAGTCATGGTTGTATTGTGTTCTCTGAGTTGGGTTGTTTAATCGTCGAGCTTTCATCGTCTTGCTAGACGACTTCAGTATGAAGTGAGCTGCCAGTATCTTTCCTTGAGTAATTCAGTAGCTTGCCGTGACCAACTGGTTTGTAATTGATTGTCTCCTTTGATTGTTGTTTCACTGACTGCATAGATTTTCATGTTTGCTGTTTCTCTGCTTGACCTCTGACCGTTCTGATGTTTATTATTTTTGTGACTGACAGATAAATTGGGTTTATGTCTATACATCTGTTGATTGCTGACTGATCTGAATGCCAAGCTTCTAGAAATTCTCTGATGATATTCTTTGTGTTTCGTCTGTTTAAGATTTCTACACTGTCAAAATTGAATCTCTGCCCATAGTTGTTATCTACGTGCACTCAGTGATGAAATGTCATGACACTCAATAGCTAATTGGTGTTTATGTAGACGAAGGCGAAGAGTGCGACCACCTTGTTCAATGTTGTGTTGGTCAAAATTATTGCGGTCGATTGTGTAAATGATGTTCGGTTTGTCTTCTTTGATTGTTGCATCCTTTGGTCTGCATTTAGGTCAGTCAGTCAGTAATCAATATATGTATAGATATAGACCCAATCTATCAATCAATCACAAAAATAATAAACATCAGAACGGTCAGAGGTCAAGCAGAGAAACAGCAAACATGAAAATCTATGCAGTCAGTGAAACAACAATCAAAGGAGACAATCAATTACAAACCAGTTGGTCACGGCAAGCTACTGAATTACTCAAGGAAAGATACTGGCAGCTCACTTCATACTGAAGTCGTCTAGCAAGACGATGAAAGCTCGACGATTAAACAACCCAACTCAGAGAACACAATACAACCAAAATCATCCACCTGCGCTACAAATATTCTCCACCATACTAGTGAGTAAAGCTCAACTGGAAAATCTAATTGCCATTCTATACAGAAGCCAAAACTAATTGATTGATGCAAATTATTTCAAGACTGCAAAAATGACTCCTCAAAATCGAATGACCGCTTGTCCAGATAAGTCGTTGATAATTTCAATCATAAACAAGGACAAAATATCTCTATATTTTAAAACTCACCTCAGCCTAAGAAACTAGAACTCAAAGAAATCGAAATCTACTCATGAACCTCTGACATATGCGTGCAACAAACAGTGAGCCTCACCTAGTGTGAAAGTGAATGATACCATTTGGTTACCTATACCTCGGTAGGCGCGACAGGGTTCGAACCCATGACCTACTGGTGGATCGATAAGCCATAGTTACACACATGTATGATGGTACTATCTAAACCGAATGGTAGTATGATTTAGCGTTATTCCTTTTACTTAGACCAATGCTAAATGGTAAAATCCCTATGTCATTCAAATAACGTTTAAAATAGATAACCAAAGCAAGGTGATAGGACTAAAGAACATTGGACTATGGATTTCTCCTAACTGTTGGGCCAGGAATTAGGATCTGTCGTTGTGCACCCAAACGGTAATGAATACTGATCACTGGAATACTGTCCTCACATTACTGAAGACAATACTGGGAAGGTAAGATTTATTACTCCGGGAAAAGGAGAAAACTAGCTAAAAATATAGTTGTTTATATGGTTAATTTACAGGACCAATAGTTACGATGTTTAATATAGAAAACTTATCCTCTCAAAAAATGATCAATAATGGACTAATACTATGTCACCAACACAACCTTCGACCGAGGTCAATAATAAAGTGCTAAACTTTCAATGACATTATCTTTGACCAAGGCTAATAATGGATCAATATAACAAGAATGGCACTATCATTGGTCAAGATGAAGGACGAATATTTGGAGTAGATTCTGTAGAGAAAACATTGACCAACCCAGCTATCAATCTTTCCGTTCTAAGACAGGGCATTATCCAACTACACTGAACTCATTACTCTAGGGGAAGACAAATCCCAAGTTTATGAAACAATAAAGATAAACCTGACATTGTATCATAGGGGATGTAACACCGAATACCATACCATGCGATATGATATCTAGTACCCAGTCACACTGCACAACACGAAACATCAAATAATGCGAACCAGTTAACATACAATGAAACTAGGTTGCATCTGTGTATATGAGCTGTATCGGCATCTGTATATGAGCTATAGGTCATGGATAATCAAAAATGACTTTCAACAAGTTAATAGGCTGCGGGTTCAAACCCGACACCATATACAAAGGTTTCAGGTAGCCGGAAGGTATCATGTTATTTCACACAATAGATGTGGCATAAAAATATAAGTGGTTGCTGAGGAAGTTAAGCTTTCGGTTTGAACAAACAACTTACCCCATATAGTCCACGACGTGAATCGATAGGTGACTTCTGAATCACTTCATCCACAACATCACTCAGTGAAGTTGTAAAGTCTGGATTTACAAACTAAAAGGAGAATACCGAATACATTTTAAAAAATGATTTAGAATGCATATCAAGAATGATTAAAACATTGGCACCGTAAATCGACCACAGTATACAAGTCTGTTGACTTAACAATGAATCATGTCTACTACTTAAAGATTCTTTACCCCAAACTACATGACTATCGAAACCTCGTTAGATGGAGCAAAGTTCAAACCCATTAATGTCTATAAGAGTGAACCACTGCTCTATTCACAATGCTATAGTATGCTATAAAAGATAGATACTATATGTAAACTGTGACGCAGAAGTGGGAAATAACTGATCTTCAATTCAAATTTCTGCCTACAATTATTACATATATGACATGCGTTCTGCAACCGTCTAATGTAAGATGATGCTTCAGGACTGGTCTACTGCAAGTGCTCCTAGTTTAATGAAAAGGGAATGAAGTGGTTGAATGTGTCGACCATTTCACTAGCTCGGGGAGTTGCATCAATCTCAGTGGACTATTTCCTGACGAAATCTCATCTCGGATACTGAAGATTTATTTGACATTTGCCAACTTGTGTCATCTGTGGCGCTGACTGGCGAGATATCCCATTATCTATCAGAGGATGAGTAGACTGGATGTCAGTCTGTTTTTTTCCTTTTATACGGCTGAGGCGTGGCCGTTGAAAGTTGAAAAAATTGAAGCGGTTACAGGGTTTTGATCATAGGTATCTTGGTAGTATCACTCGCGTTTAGTGGAATCACCGTGTGAGTATTGTTGAAGTCAAGCAAAAAGGGAATTAGGCCAGACAGATAAGTCGATTGATGAGGTTATGAACCTTAGTGAACTAAAATGACTTGAACATGTACTGCGCATGCTGATCCACCATCTACCTCGACGTGCCATGCTAGGAGGGGGGTGGATTGGGTTGGAAGAGGATTTAGAGTGATCTTTTTTCGATTTTGATAATGATGGATAGTGACAAACAGAGGACGTGCCCTTCGTCCTATTTGAGATTGGTCAGCTGGATGCACTTACCTCCCAGTGAGCTATGTTGTTCCCATTATGACCCAAGCCTATGACCAATCGCTCCAAACACCAGAGCGTAATCTACTAATACAAGCAAAAACAAAAACTGTATCCAACGCACAAGAAATGTCTATCGTGACTCGATGGCCTAGCAGATAACGCTTTGGTGTTTGAAGAAACCGGTCCCGAGTTTGAATCCTAGTGTGCACAACATCGCTCACTGGGAGGCAAGTACACCCAACCGATGAGTCCCAAATAGGACGAAACGCGCATCCTGGACTACACTACTAGCCACTAGCCATCACTAATATAAAGGTTTACAATCCAATCAAAATACCAATCAAGTGATGGGGGATTGATAAACAATAATTATAGAGATATTAAGTCATGAGGATGATAAGTTCGAGAAATCAAGATCCAAACAATCTATTATTAATTATTAGTTCATCGTGCCCCGGTACAAGGAACAACCAAGAAGTCGGCGTTCCAGTTAATGTATGGCGGGAAACCACGGCTCCCGATACATAGTAAGACCTGGCCCCAACAACAGCCTTGGAACATGACAAGATTCAGAGAGGAGCGGAAGCAGGCTATCAGGAATGTGGAACGAAAGCAGAAGGCTGATGCTGAAAAATCTGAGCAGAGAGAAGGAAGTAAATGGACACCATTTGAGGTTGGAGATCAAGTGAAATGTAAAGAACGAGGATATACGTCAGGAGGTGAGTATGGCAGAAGGAAACTACTTCAGAAGTGGGAAGAACCATACATCATTACCGAGAGACGCGGTTCAATTTATACTATCAAACAAGGAAACAAAGAGAATAGAGTAAACGCCAGCCTACTTCAAAAATGGAAGCAGTGGAAAAAAGACGAAACAGTGAGTGAAAGCCAACAGAAGACAGCACCAAGACGATCAACACGGTTGCAAGCCCGGAATTTCGAGGGGGGGACGAGTGTAGTGGGCGTTGCTGATAACAACGGATATAAGTAGTATACATCGAGAGGGTGGCAGGAATCATAGGGAATTACCGGCAACGGGTAAGGTTTCTACCAAGAGCAACGCAGGGGACAACACAGGCGTATTACAGGGGATGCTGCTGATAAGAGTGTATGAAGAGCCGGTCAAATCAAGACAGGAACGGAGAGGAAACGAAGACATTTGCAAATGGCTGCGTCAGTGAAAGGAGTACCATATGTAACCACTACCATTCCAATTGTTCGTAATGAACATTCTCTCGTCGACTTGTCTTCTGTTTCTTCACTATCATTTTGCTCCTCTTCTGTTGTAAAGTTGATTGCCGGATGAATCCCAGTGAACTTATTAGGAACAGCATTCTTATCAATCTCACTATTGAGAACTATAAGGGTATCTATCATCCATGTAACGACAATGTAATTGCAACCGGCTAATAGTGTCGTTTAGAGGAGCTATTTTCTAGTTTTGACAGAAAAAAAGTCTTTTAAAATAAGGAAAACAATACAACCGGCAATACTGATCTGAAATTCCTATTTTCCTTTCTTTGGCCATTCGTATAAAAAAACGACTAAACAACCTAAGAACTTTATACAGAAGACGCGTTTCTATACTTACTTCAGGTTGAAAGAATATTTCTGGACCTAGAAAACGTTCATAACCAACATCAACAGAAAAGGCTGGATACTTTGCAGATTTTGAAACGACATGAGGTTTAATCCACTTATCGGGTTCACTATCATATTTAGCGAATTCTTTGGGTAAATCAGGACAAACATATGAATAACTGGAATGAAAAATGGAAACAAACATAAAAAATCACCTATGCATTGACACAATTGGACCGCCAACCTAAAAAAAAGGGTGTTCAGTAAGCAATCAATGATTTTAATTAATATCAGTCGAAAGGCGAATTCACAGGCTAATTAGCCCTAGAGTTATTATTATCTCATTCGCAGGGGTAGTTTCGATATGCTACACATGCAGATTCACTGTTAACCACTGTCAAACTTACGTCGTTTGACTTTACAGGGACTTATTTTACCACAGAAGAATCCTTTGTAGATGGCATAGTCATGTTAGATGAAGACGCCTAGAAGATGCAGTCTCCTGAACACCTTGAGTGGCAACTTGAAAATGTTTGGGATGGGTTTCTCGCCAGGTAAGTGCAAATTGTTGTTCCAAGACTGGTCTTCACAGGTGCTTCGCCTAACAACGCAGAGTGTGTTGAACAATTTGTTTACCTCCAAAGTCATATAAGTCCTAGTAGGTCAGTGGTCGACGAAATCTCTGCACGGATAAAAAAACCCAACTGGTTTTCGCAAACTCACGCCATCTGTGATGCCACCATTATATCCGATTGTCTATCAAGGGTCAAGTGTACTGTGCTGCAGTTCGCTCTGTTCTAATCTATGGCTGTAATAACATGGGGATTAAAGGTAGAAGACATGAAAAGGCTTCAGGTGCTGCCTTCATAGCATAAGCCGTGTTTCGAGGCGTCACCACGTAACGCAGGCCTCAGGTGAAGATAGTTGGTGTGGTTGTGAACCTTCATCGACTGAGATGGCTGGCTGGGACATATGTTACGTATGCCTAGGTACCGTCTGCCTTGTCAAATTTTAGCTGAATTAGGTTTAGGCAAGAAAAAGGTTGGGAACTACCAGACTAAAACACGACATCAATATATGAAATCTTTGACTATTGGTTTGATCCGTGTAGGGAAATGTAAAATGGAATCTGGAGTCATTGTTTGAAGACTCCAGGTGATATGGCTCAGAATTGATCACATTGGCTCAGATATATTCATATATTGTCCTCATCTTAAGTATCATGCTGAATTCAGTATTTTCTTGTTTTACCTTGTTATCTTCTCACAACTTCCAACCACTTTTGACTACTTTCTTCTGTATTATTTTATCTCTCATCTTAATGCCTTCTCGCCGGATGTACTGATATGAAATGTAGCAATGTGGATTGCTACACAGCAACGCCTAGTCAGTCTTGTGTTTATCTTTTGTGTCTGTCTGATATTTCAAGCTTTAGTGGCAGAGAGATGAAGTCAGGTAACGATGAATGAGTTGGTATTTGTTGCTGGCTGAAAATAAGTTGTGATCTCTATAAAGCTGTAGGAGAAGTTACCTATTATGTGACCCGTAACTTATCAATCCCATCGGCTACTTAAACGACCCTTTTCTGGGCCCAGACGCCCGGTCAGTGCATTCAATGCCGCAGTTAGCACTTCAATACTTGTCAAGCGTACCCAGTAAAGGTCGTTCAGCCAATGGTAGAAATCAACTTTAACCGCATCTTCGCTGCAGTAAACCAGAGCAGAGGCAGAAATGACGAAGAGAGTGAGAAGTATACATATCAATTTGAAAGATGGCAGATTCGCAGATTTAGAATGTTAATTGATCACATGAAAAAGTCAGACTTATCTTCCTAAAATATAACATCACAGAATTAACAAAACACAAATTGTTAAACTAACCGTTCCTTAATTTGCTTTGCAACCTCCATACTTAATTCAGGTGGGATATTGGTTTCGCGATCTCTAAGTAAGTGTTGAATGAAAGAAGTGATATCACGTCCAGCAATCGGTATATGTTTAATGCAAGATCCAATCACATAACCATCGACCACAGGAATAACATGTGTGACACCATCACCAGAATCGATTACAGTCCCAGTGAGTGAACGACCAACCCGATTTGAATACCACGAGGCAGCTAATGCCAATACAGCCTTTAGGGAACATAAAATAAACCAAAACAAAAGTGTATCTTTGAGACTATTGTAAAAAGAAGAGAACTTAAAAAGCATGATGCCTCGGACAGTTACATGTAGTAGATAAAAAGGCCTACATACAGAATTCCGATCCGCGAGGTATTCGAAAGAGAAATAAGACGATTTTGAGAAAAACCTACTTATCTTAGAGGTGTGAACCCAGAAAGACAGACAAAACCAACACAGGATTAGGCGTTGCTGCGTAGCAATCCACATTGCTACATTTCATATCAGCACATCCGGTGAGAAGGCATTAAGATGGGAGATAAAGTAATACAGAAGAAAGCAGTCAAAAGTGGTTGGAAGTTGTGAGAAGATAACAAGGTAAAACAAGAAAATACTGAATTCAGCGTGATGCTTAAGGTGAGGATAATGTGTGGATATATCTGCATCAATACGATCGATTCTGAGCCATGTTGCCTAGATTCTCCCACCAAGTGTAAACTCATATTTCTACTATCAAAGCTAGCCAAGAACATCACTTCCAAATCAATCGACGAAACTGACTACACATAAGGTCAAGTGCAAAAATCTACCATAAATCGGCAACCAGGATGACGCTTGACAGACTAACAAAATCATTGCAGAATCTCAAACACGGGTGTATCGGCTCAAGTTGCCACATTTTACAGTAGTATACATTTATCCATCCATCCAAGTCAACATAGGACCAGGCATTATTGTGTAACGGTCCGATTTGCCACAGCTCATATTAGTACATCAAGTAAAAAGGTAGTCAACCGGAAGATAAAGAAAAGGAAACTCAGTCAAAAGAAATGTAAAGTATTAAAAGAAGGAAAGGAAGAATGAGAGAATGGTGAATTCAGTATAGTGTTAAGATGAGAATAATGTGTGTATACATCTGCGCCACTGATATCGGTTCTGAGCTATATCATCTAGTCTCCAACCACTGATTTCGCTTGCCTCGCTGACCCCAATCACTCAGTCTGCATCGCCCCACATGGCTCAAACCAACAGTCAAAGACTTCATACATTGGTTTCATGTTTTAGTCTGGCCGCCTCAAGCCTTTTTCCAGCCTGAATCTACTTCCGCCAACATTGTGTGACGAGGCAGACGGTGGCTAGGCATACGTAACACGTGTAGTATACAAAGAACATGTGGATAGAAAATGAACGATATCAAAGTAGACAAAGTTGTGTAAGAGAATAAACAATTTAAAAATAAAGGTTAGTGCAAATATTCACGCTTTGGAAGATATCAAGGAGTGAATACATCTACGCCATTGTCACCGATTTTTGGCCATGTCAACAAGAGTCCGCAACCCCTGATTTTTATCGTCTCTAGACCCCAACTAGCCAGGCTATATCTCCCCACAAGACTCAGACCAACAGTTAGGGACTTCATAGACTAGATCCATGTCTTAGTCTGGCCACCCTGAACCTTGTTCCAACCTAATTCAGCTTCCCCTAGCATGGCACGTCGAAGTAGATCGTGGATCAGCATGCTCAATACATGTCCAAACCATCTCAGTCGACTAAGGTTCATAACCTCACCAATCGACTTATCTGTCTTGTCTAGTACCCTTGGCTTGACCTCAACAATGCTCACATGGTGATTCCACCAGGGCAATGTTTAGGTAGGTATCACTGATACAATTCTACCAAATAGTTTTTCTGATTATCTTTCCCTATTATAGCCGCGTAACTACCTGAATAACTTGATAAGATCGATTGGCTCACTGTCGACTAGCACGGATTCTAATCTCTGACAGACAGTAATTTTATTCAAGGCCTCGCTTTAGAGATATTCTGTTAGTGAAAACCCGTAGACATAAGGTCTAAACTTGAAAGCTCTTACCTATACCTAGCAAATGCATTACATTTTTAAAATATTTAACACTATGATACATAATAATTGATTACGTTATTCAAATTAAGAATGAAAATTTGTCTCACCTGAACACCTATGTAAAGCCCAGGAACATTAAATGTTTCGAACATGATTTCAGCTGTGTATTCACGATTCTCTGGCGTATTGAGCGGTGGTTCAGTCTGAAAACCAAAAACAATGAAGAATTTCAAAGACTGGGTGGATGGAAATGAAAATATTGGTTCATTTTAATCATGGTTTACTGGCTTAATCACTTGACATTTAAGTCTTTGGTCCGAATCCCACTCCACTTCTGCCTGTACAAGCTCGTAACACTAAATACCTTCACACAGTAAATGGGGCTCATAGCCCAGTAGGCATACCTGCATTGAGTTGAGCTGCATTCAGAGTGATATTACTACGTGAATATAACCCTGTTTTAGAACCAGAATCCTGAAGGAGAGCTTGCGATTTCTATCAGTTGGTAAATGGATAAAGAAGTGAGGTACATCCAAAGGTAGCGTAACCCTCAAACAAATTCCATTTCTAAGAAGTTAGTTACGATTAAACACCAAAGTTTAGAGAACACTAAACTATTGTGATCTTCGTCCTCTATTGCTTTGTCAAAGATTGTAACCTAGAAGCACACAAGAATAACTTTTACTATCTGGTGAGAAATTCATTGAACCGAATGCTTCAGACTGAAATTGTGCAGGAGATCTCAGGGGGGTAAACATGATGTCCAGACGTGAAAGGAAGCAGTGTGAGAAATTAGTATCGCTTTGTTATTTGAAAGCTGTATGATGAGGATCAGTTTTTAGTAACTTCGGCGAGTAGGCTAGAATAAGAATTAACAGAATACGTACAGATGACAACTGACGTACATGGTAACTTATATCTCACTAGCACTGAACTGTGATAAAAAGATGATCGGAGAATCACCTTGTACTCTTTACTTACTAATTAAAAGTAGACTTGAATGAGTTATAACACCGCAGTCAAGCGATTATACGCACGGATATATTTATAGCTGTCTCGGGATCTTGATGGAATGTACATAAGCTCTGGTTGTTCTTTAATGCACCGTGCTTTCGTACAGTATCTTAGTTGACAGAAATAATAGTCATGTTACTCAACAGGCATGTACAACTTTGCATATCTAGGCAATCAGCCTTAACAATTGCGAGGGTTAGCTAAACTGTCTGACTGCTTAAACCTCAGTTGGTGGAAAGGCGTTCAAAACAATGGCCTAGTGTCACAGTTGATATCTTTCCTTATAGATGGTGTAGTGTAAAAAATTAATCAATTAATGTTACGACTGAATAACCAACCTAATTAACTCGATACCGGATATTGTTTCACCGAAAATCCAGTTGATCTCTATTTCCCCTTATAGCATTTTATGAAAATGTTATAGTTTTGAGGAACTTCACGTGGATGGTGAATGTCAATCACTTACATGTTTTAACGTTTTGAGATACTTCAGTGAAAAACTAGCAAAAAAGTACTTGTAAATCCCACAAGCTGACTCGAACCATGAGACTGAATGTGGCGGGTATAACAAAAGTCAACTCGTGAACTACAAGAGTCCTGTGAACCAGATGGCATGTTGATCGACAAATCCAGAGGGTGATATCTGCTGAACCAGTCACCAACGAAATTCCAACGAGTTTATGGAAATCTCAGTTAATTATAACTACCCGCAGTGATTTTAGCGGCTAGTAGGACACTCACTTATTGGTTAATTGTACAATCTCGCATTTGATTAAATTCTATCTTAAAGCTTAGGCACAGTTTCTGATAATGAATAACATATAAGTGTAGTAGATATCTGATAGCAGGAACCTTTAAGGACATCGTAAAAGAGGAAGCAAAGCTAAGGCTGGACTCAGGGATCTAGATACACAACATGTGATTATGATTTTGTAGTTAATAGTATCGATCAATTCACTATATACTGGAGAATGCAATATATATACTCCCTCAGCTATTTTTACATTAGGTGCAAGGTGAGGACAGAATATATCAAAATGCATCCATTTTTAACTTTAATAATTAACATGATATTGAGCTTTGTACACATGTGTAAGTTTCCTGGTTGTTAACATTTACGAGCAAGTTTGATAATAATATTGAAATGAGTACCGACGGATTTAGGTGTGAAAATAAAGGATGCACTTTAAATTCATAAGAACCTCCAACACCAAATTTGTAAAATTTCACGAAATAGCACGGACTATGCAACATACCAAAAGGAAGTAGTGATCTTCAGGCTCTGCTCGAAGAAGCTTAAAAATAAGCTGTTCCATATAACGTTGCATCAAATCCCAATCTTCAATTATACCATGACGAATAGGCCACTAAATAATAGTAATAATAATGATAACAAAGTCGTCGAAAAAAATATAATTAAAAAACGCATTAACCTGTATACTGTTTTTATAGGTGCCCAAATACAGTCAAGAATAAGAAAGGTCTGCTTTTCTGGTAATATATATAGGTAGACAAAGTCAACATGGAACTTTGCACATAACTGCATCGGCTTAAATTGCCACACTTCACAGTAGTACAAAAGATAAGGTGGATAAAAAAAGTGATGTCGAAGTAGAAATTGTTGTGTGAGAGAATAGACAATCTGAAAATACAAATATTTAAGTTTTAGATGTCAAGGAGTGAATACATCTGTTCCACTGTGACCGATTTTCAGCCACTTCACGAAGAGTCCTCAACTACTGATTCTTTTTGTCTCGGGGAATGACCCCAGCCAAGCAATCTACATCTCCCCACATGACTCGGACTAATAGTCAGGGACTTCACGAACTGGTGCCACGTTTTGGTCTGACCATTATGAATCCTCTTTCAACTTAATTCAACACCCACCTACCCCCAGTGTTGCACGTCGATGTAGGCGGTGGCTCAGCAAGACCAGTACATGTCCAAGCTACCTCGGTCGATGAAAGTACACAACCTCTTCAGTCGATCTACTTCTTTTGCCTCTTACCCTTTGCCTGACCTCAACACTCCTCACACGGTGACTCTACCAAATGAGAGCAATGCTACGAAGACATCTGTGATCAAAGCCCTATAACCCCTTGAAGTCTTCTACTTCTAACAGCCATGTCTCACAGGCGTATAACAGGACAGAAAGAACTGCAGCGTAGTATACTCGTCCTTTGATAGATCATCAGATATCTTGCCAGTCGGCGCCACAGGTAATGCAAGTTGGCAAATACGAAACGGGTCTTCTGTATCCGAGCTGAGATTTTGTCAGTAACCAGCCCGTTCTGTGGGCTGATACAACTCCCGAAGTAAGTGAAGTGGTCGACAAAACCCACTGCTTCACTTCCTGTCATTAAACTAGGAGTACTTGCATCGTACCATTCCTGGAGCATTTGACAGGTGCGAAACGCATGCCAAATGTATTCAGATTTTCGCTCAATGCATTTACAAGACCCTGCATTTTGTCAACATCTTCCCCCAGCAGGAAAATATCGTTTGCACACTCCAAATCAACTAGATGACCTCCAAGGAGTAGGTCAGATGTACTTAAGATTGTGTCCATTAGTACGTCTATAACGAAGGTGAATAGGAACGGCGACAGTGGACATCCCTGGCGGACACCACTGGATGTCGTCAATTCTGACGACAACTCTCTATAAACCCGTACACGGCTGTGTAAGTTCAAGGAGAGAGCTTTGATTAGCGTTATATGACTTGCTTGGTATTCCCTTTAGTCACACTGCCATAACACCTCAAGGTCGACAGAGTGCAATGCTGTCTTTAGGTCAAAAAATATACTGTCGGCCGATGGCCGGTAGGTATATCTGTGTTTCAGAACTTGTCAGAGGGTGAAAATATGATCGAAGCACTCTCGTCCAGTTTTGAAACCTGTCTGGTTTTCTCGGGGTTGCTGTTTTCGAGATCCAGTTAGGCGTCGGATAACAATGGACCCTAGGATCTTCGACACAACATTGGTCAAACCAATTTCCCTATGGTTGTCACAAGAATACTTCTCTTCCTTCTTACAGACTGGGATTGTCAGTAAAGTACACCAGGTTGACAGGACTTCCTCTGAAATTGTATAGGCAATTAGACTCGAGTTCTGAAGACAATAGCGAAACTTGATGACATGGTTCCACAACTGTCCGCGAAAGTACAAATGTACTTCATCTATATCACCTTCAAAGTTCAGATTATAAATTACCGATATTTATCGACTTGTTTTTCCTCACTGATATTCCTCTCATTTGTTTGATCATTTTCCTATCACTGATTCCTTCCTATGCTATTTTTCTGTGCGGAAAATCGACTTGAAGAAGCGTTGTGCGGTGTTCTTAGTTACTCCGCTCATGTGAGGTGAGGTAAATGGATACGATTGAGTCTTGAGTGAGCCTCAGAAGAGCAAAATACATCCACAGACTACAATTTCAAAATTCTGAACAATAAAGACTTTGAATTTTATAAGCTTTAATGTAAAGCTGGTATGGTGATTTTAGGTGGCCGGAAACCCTAACAGAAGTTACACAATTAGAATAAGGGGAGATTGGAGAATTCAACGCTAGTAGCGATAATTTAGAATGAAAACAAAGATGGAAAGTACTGACAGTGATCACAAGATATAGGGTATCCTATTATAAGCGCTTCAGCAGCTGATATTTCCCACCTGATATTATAGTGGGGTTTAAAATCTTCAGCATTTGGAAGCCATTAAAAAGCTGAAAACAGAACAAAACAACGTTGTACTGACGAACTGCAAGATGATCTTGTATAACAGTATACTGGTTGAAAATCAAACCTTGAAACAAATCACAGCGAAATAATTAATAGAAGAGGGAAAGTAGAAAAGACTAAGGGAAGACCAAATAGTAGGAAATAAACAAGTTTCTACCCAGTACGAAATCCAATAATGATAACTTTTCAAAGCAAGGCACATTCGTGCACCAAGTGAGAGACATATTTTCTATGCGGGGGGTGGGGTTGCTACCCATACAGGAATGCTAGTGTGAACTTAAGAATATTCAGACTTATGACAACATGGTACAGTGGTCAACAGTTGAAGGCCTGAACGGCTGATCGGAAACTTTGAAATAAAAATATACGACAAACGCATATCTATCAATGAAGTCACTCTCGAAAAGAGAAAAAGACTATGGATGAAATGAACTTTAATGTCACCACATTCTTGCTAGCGGTATATAATTATATTCCACTGAAGTGAAACGTGATAAGAGAAAACAACAATCGATACAACATGGTGGGTAATGTTGACATTTTGACACCCAGGATCATTTACAGGTGAAGTTTAAGGATGATAATCAAATTCAACGAACGTGAAAATGACCTTGAACAACCAAAAACGATAAAAAGACATAAAAGCAACTTTATGGTGGTTAAATGCGCATAATCATGTGCAAAGTTAGTAAACAGGAAAATCTTCAGGAACCTGCTTCAGTTTTCCGTTGGAGTTTTCATGAAGTGCTCCAGAAGAAGTGACAGTCTTCCACCGACCCCCTCCAGCGATGACTGGTAGCAATGTGGTCTATTGTTGTCCATCGCTCAGTTGAGCTCGGTGGATGCCAAGACAGATAATGTCTTTAATGTCTGAGGTTTATGCTAGCTAGAAAAACAGTTGAGCACAGTTGAAGTAGGCGATCACCGTTATCTGTCTGTTCATGTTGATTTTGATGGTGACGTAAAAGAATTCGTTTATATAACTGCAGATTCTTTCGTTCTGACAGCTTACATCTGAAGGTGTCTTAGAACAGATTAAGGATTAAGAGACAACTTGCTATCAAAAACGAAATCACCTCTAAGACAAACACTACAGTAGAGCATAGAGGTCTATTGCTTCTCTATGTTTGCACAGTCATGTTTCTTTCGCATCAGTGCAACTTTTGTACCTCTATAACCCCCTGGTTCATATAATACTCGAAAACATTTCCTGAAAGGAGCTATACATTCAGGAAGTATATATCACTCAATGCTATTAGTCTGTCGACCAGCCAAGTTGTGATTTGGTTTTGTTGAAAACCGTTTACGCTTTCCTTACCTGTAGTTGATATTCTTTAAATTTATCCATTTAAATATTAAGCAACCGACCATACATTAGCTCCAAAACAGAGCTGCTTAAGACATAAGCTCAAGTATGAGAATAATTAAGAAACTTACCCGTGTAAATTAAGTAATTATACAGACTTTTACCACGTGGGAGATGCAAGAAAGAACATGTTCAGAGGTGCAAAAAAGAAACCAAAGGTCGAAACACGTCGTTAAATAGAATGGCTACACCAGAAATTATCGGAAACTTATATAAATACTTCTGAAAACTAATTAAATCTGGGTCTCGATAGGCCAACAGATCCATGCATTGAAAAGTTCTAGAGTTATGAACTGAGTCTGGCAGGACCACTATATGACTGCATAGAATGATGGTAAGCAGTATAATACAATATATATATTCACATCCCTCGTGGGATTTATCAGCCTTATTTTTTTGCATCAAAGCGACAGAAGAGCACATCCAGTATCCCGAAGGACAGATATATACGGGTAGGAAACTCCTGTTTTGAAATGTATCGGTAGGCGCTGATGTAGGTAAACAAACAGTACATACTTGCAGTGAATAACTCAATGGGCACAATATACAATATGGAAATAGTTATTCGAACAACTAAACCACTCACCTTCACTGAAAAATCATTCTTCCCATCAAGGGCTAATGCGTCATCTCCTATGTAGAAATTTAAATCATCTAAACCCGTCCCAAGACGTCTGACTTCTCTCGTGCCAACTTTACTGTATTCCTTCACCGCAATGCAAGAAGGGATGATTGATTGGGGTTCTGTATTCCCAGCGTAACCAATTTTTGAGTACCTAATTTAACAGAAGATAGTTTGGAATATATGAGTCCCACCCCGTGCCATTATCTATAACAATAGCTGGAAGGCGACCAATCATACCCAAGTGTAACGCACACACCAAAAATAGCACGCTAAAATCCAATATCTCTTTTAAGGAGCTTGTGTAAACCAGTTGATTTCTTCTCGCTCGCTTCTTGGTCTTGCGGAACAGTTGCAGGTCTTTGGCGGATTCTGACGCAGCAGATCCAGCCACTCCTATGATATAGCTCTGAGTAACAGAACAGGGAGTAAAGTATTGGTTTGTTTCCAATATCCAATATTATCCAATATTGATAGTGCGAGCGTAGAAAACTGGTAGTTTTTGATCTCTCGCGTCTAGTTCTTAGGGCTTGGTTCCAGTTGTTCGGTTTACTCCTGCAGTGGACGAGGAAATCCCTCTGCTTTCTTGCTTTTAGCTTCGGTGAGGTGGATGTTTTGTGGGTTAGTAGGTTGTAATTTGTAGAGTGATTAGGGAGCTACGGGTTGCTGGGAAGTTTAGAGAACTGCCATGACTCCTGTCTGTGTAGGTACCTGAAAGAGAATAGTAAGGTAGTGGTAAAGGAATGAAGAGAGAATAAAGAAGAGAGTGAAGTAGCACCATAGAGACTCTGGGAGCTGGGTTAAGGCCGTATCGCTAACCATCCTTGCCTTTAAACAGGAGTTTACGTAGATAGCCACTCCCCCTCCTGCTCTATGTTCCCTGTCCCTGCGGAAGAGTTCCATGCCAGCAACACGCATCTCTTCGTCGGAGATGTCCGATGAGAGCCAGGATTCGGTGATGAATATGATGTCGGAGTGCTGATGTTCACGCAGCGTCCTCATTTTGCTACCTTCCCTCTTAGCCCCCTAACGTTGCTGTACATACATATTAGAGTGTGCCTGATGAGAGGGGAGGTCTGGATGTGTATTTTCGCAGGGTGAGCGCTTACGTGGTTGATTTAGCCTCGCCAGTCCTCATAGGACTGGCATTGTTCCGTTTTTTGTGTTTTGTTCTTAACTTGGGTGGGGGCTGTAGCAGTGGTGGCTTCTTTACTTGATGTATCTAACTCACTGGTCAGCGCCTGTGTGACGACCACTGACTCCAGAGGTCTTGGTGGTTGCCGTCTCTCCTCTTGCCTTGTGGGTCTAGGCTTACTTTCACATATACGTATTGAGCCACCCATGCGATCTTCGCATTATACCATGCGTGCAGAACGTCTGTGAGGGAGGCATATGAGTCGAACTGGACGGCAAGTAGTCTGGGATTGGGTATGGTCTTCAGGTGCGCTGGCCTTGGCAGTCTACTGACGCTGTTGGCCGGTATACTGTTGAGACCAACTTTGGTTGAGAGCCATTGCCATTGTTGGACGTCGTGAAAGTACCGATCTTTGACCGAGCTGTCACTTGGCAATTCTGGAATCCCATGTACAACTATAGTGTTGTTTCTGTTGGGATTTCCAACCGCTGACTTTCTCTCCTCCTCTCTTATTGACCATGGCTTGTCAGGCCTGGCCCGAATTTTACAGGCATTAACAACGTCCGGTTGTCGCGAGAGGAGGAGTGTGTCTTCAGCCTCTTTGGCGGTATTTAGGGACACACGTAAAGGGGGTGGCTTATCTCGGGGTGCATGGCTTCCTCGAGAAAGGCGACACAAAGTTGCAGGGAGGGGAGGGAGTCCCAGCATCTGACAGTAGTCGGTCCACATTCGGCTGTCAAATTGTTCCCTCTCGACCAACAATGAGTCTGTCGATACATCGACGTTGAACAAAATGATCGAGTTGGTCCTCCTGTGACCTGGGTTCGTTGTGGGTGGCACGCCCGACTTCCCAATGGGTTTGAGTAATTCCACTGGTTGTTTCTCAGTCACGGTGTGTGGGGTGTTCGGAATGGGTTTCGTAGAGGCTTCGGCGGTCGATGTCTTTGGCCATGCGCTTGACGTCCCCTGGGGCCGGGTAGGGGTATGGAGACTTGACCTAATATGGTCCCCACGCGAGGTGGCGTGCCCACAGCTGGAGCTCTAGGTCTGTTTCCAGGTCTCTCTGTGTTATCCTTTGGTGTTAACCCTACTTTATTCGAGGATGCTGGTAGCTTTTGCGTGGCGGAGAGCATCTCCTTCAGGCTTTCTGTGCGGAGTGCGGGCATTTTCCTGCACTCTGGACAGATGTACCAGAACCACTTGCATGGTTGTCTCTTCATCAGCTTATAGTATTGTCGGGGGACTTTGGTATCGCAGTGGCAATGCGCCCATCGTTGACATAGGTTGCATGCAAATGCCTCATCGACTACCGAAACAACTTTGGTGCAAACACTGCAGCCATCGGGTGTCGTAATACAGCCTTCCTTCCATGAATAAGGTGCTACGGATTGTGGCGAACTGCTTGTGGCTGCCTTGTTCTGAAGCCTTTTACGTCGTCTTCTATTTCAGGCATGGTATGATCCTTGCTCAAGATAGGACTAGTTTGTGACGGGCTAGTGCTACTCTGTGTCACCTGTCTGATGGCGACTGGAATTCTAGAAACATGGGTTGGCCACTTCTTTAGAAGTTCGGTGTTCTGCCCTACCTCTGTTTGTCTTCTAGTACAGACTAGTGTGTTGTTTAGGGTGTTTTGGCCGTTGTTGTGCACGACCGCGTTATCCGTGTCAAAGCTTCAGACCTAGCGTTTTGGGCAGACATGTCGCTATGATATAAACTTCTTGGGAAAACAAGTAGTTAACAACAATAAGAGGGTTGAAGACTGAATGCAGCAAAAGGACAGAATAGAAAAGGGAAGATAATTTATGTTGGCTCACCTTCAGACACTTGTCACTTGATCCTCTGCTCTTGACCAACGAGTTTAACCGTAAGCTCCAGATGCGTATGTATAACCAGGAAAGATATTTCCTGGGGAATGACCTCCGAGGAGAACCGAGAGCTAAGGCAGTTTGGCAGTTGAAACGCCCAAGAACCACTGACAGGAGGTAGACCGGTTGGTTCAAAGGAATAATAATGCCAATTTTCAACTGTTGAGGAGTGAGCTGACGAATGCGCAGGGGTGAGGTGCGTGGACGGACAGAAGTGCTGCAAACGTTCGATGTTTTTAGATTGAGTATTGCAAGTGGGAGTTTTTCATTGTGGAAAAATCCAAAAGCTGAGAGACGAGCGAAACACGTCACTACTCGAGGAGCGCGCCAACCAATTTGACATGGACTGTGGTGCAGTTGGCTTATTCAGGTGTCGAGTTGCCAGACAGTTATTGGGAATGGTCACTAGAGAGGGCTAGAGATAGTGAAGAGAAAACCCAGAAAGTGTTTATGTGAGTAAAAGAGGAAAAGAAAAGTGAACTAATGGAGTAATCTACTCACACCCAAGTAAGGCGAGGAGGGGTGCAAAGGTATGAGGAACTTAGGTAGGTGAGGCTAACTCATGGCAGGTGGAAGGGAGTAAAAGGGCTTAAATGGTTACAATGGTAAGAAAACTGGTTGTAAAGTTAAAATAGTTGGGGTGGCTTGACATCAGTTCGTGTTCCATCTATATGTCGGTAGACCATGGGTGTCTGCTTGACTGTCTAGTCTCTTCTTGAAGCTCACAACAGTTGGGGCGGAGACCACCTCTGCTGGTAGTGAGTTCCAGTACCTGCAGGCTCGGAGGGAGAAGAACTGTTAACGCACATGCGTTTCTGACCTTTGGTGGGCCACCCTCTTAAAGTTTTCTCGAGGGTCTCCATAGTGGTCACTTGGTAGTACTCCTCTGTTCAGGTGACATGGGTTATTCGGAATTTTGTAAGCCATTATAAAGTCACCTCGTACCCTTCGGTAGCTAAGAGAGTATAGGCCTAGGTCTTTTAGTCTGTCCTCATATGGTTTTCATCCCAGTAACTCTTTTTGTGGCTCGCCTCTGGATTTTCTCCAATAGGTCAGTGCCACTTTTCAGCTGTAGTAAAGCGAAGACGTTGTGGACCTCTAAGTGGGACCACATGTATGTCTTGTAGAGCTTCAGAAAGAGTTCTGGAGTGAGGGCACCCAGTTGTCTACCCACAAACTGTAGTACACCATATGCTTTTGAGGCATCACCTGGGTAACTGGAACTGGTGTCCAGTTTCTCCATCACCTTTAAACCCAGGTCTTTTTCCACTGTGGTGTGGGATATGCGTAAACCACAGAGATAGCAGAGTACTTTCTGGGGATCAAGAGTGATGAAAAACGTGGACCCGCACTTATCCAGGTTAAATGTCAGTTCGTTATTAGTTCCCCATTTCTCTAGTGTTTCGAGGTCGTTCTGTAATGCCATAGATTCCGCTTCGCAGGTTACTACCCTCCATAACTTGACGTCATCAGCATATAGGAGAGTCAGGGGGCTGATATGTTGCGGCAGGCCATTGACGAACAGTAGGAACGACAGTGGAAGCAGGAATGCTCCTTGCGAGACACCGGATGAGGATGTCCTCAAAGTTGAGTAGGCCCTGTTGACTTTCGTGCAGAACTTCCTATTGTCTAAGTAGTTCTGCAGCCATGATAGCACCTAGCTGTGTATACCTAACCCAGCTATCTTATGTATCCAGTGTCTCATCAAACATCCAACAGTGGTATGTGGAATAACTTTGGCACTCGGATCGAGAATCCAATATCCAATCCAATAGTCCTAGATCGGATCGTTTATCTGATGTAGTACTTTATGTTACACTATTACTTACTGTATGACATTTTGAGCAGAATTTATAACCGGTATCCACTCAGTATTTGGATGTGCAGATAGTGGCCAACTTGGCTTGTGTTAATCCTTTTATTAGGTCTTCCTTTAAATATCCAGTTTCCCCTAATAAGTTCAGCAAAGTAGCGGATGCTAGTTGCAGGGGTAAAGAATTTTAGCCTGTGAACACTGCGTGGGATGTGTAAACTCACACTGAGTTGAGCCAATCCCGGATTTAATTTTCTTCTAGTGACACTGAAGTTGGCTTGCCCTCAGGAGAGAGAAGAAATGGGTTGATTCAACCCCAAGGTAATATTCTAGGATACGGAATTCTAGTATGAGACCTATGCTTCTACGATAAGACAGTGGAAAGGTATTTAGTCTTTCCGAACGGTCCTCATAGGAAGACTAAG